TGGGCACGGGGGGGGGAGTTTGGGGCTGACAATTGATGGGCACGGGGGGGGGGGGGGGGGCTGACAATTGATGGGCACAGGGGGGGGGGGAAGTGGGGGCTGGGGGGCAATGATGGGCACGGGGGGGGGGGGGGGTGTGGGCTGACAATTGATGGGCACGGGGGAGGGGGGTGTGGGCTGACAATTGATGGGCACAGGGGGGGAGTGGGGGCTGACAATTGATGGGCACAGGGGAGGGGGGGTGGGGCTGACAATTGATGGGTACGGGGGGGGGGACAATTGTGGGCTGACAATTGATGGGCACGGGGGGGGAAGTGTGGGCTGACAATTGATGGGCACGGGGGAGGGGGTGTGGGCTGACAATTGATGGGGGGGGGATGGGCCGGGGTGGGCTGACAATTGATGGGCACGGGGGGGGGGTGGGGGGCTGACAATTGATGGGCACGGGGGGGGGTTTGGGCTGACAAATTGATGGGCACGGGGGAGGGGGTTGTGGGGCTGACAATTGATGGGCACGGGGGGGGGGGTGGTGGGCAGGGGGGGGCTGACAATTGATGGGCACGGGGGGGGGCTGGGGGGGGGGGGTGTGGGCTGACAATTGATGGGCACGGGGGGGGGGGCTGACAATTGATGGGCACGGGGGGGGGGTGTGGGCTGGACAATTGATGGGCAAGGGGGGGGCACGGGGGAAGGGGGGGGTGGGGGGCTGACAATTGATGGGCACGGGGGGGGGGGGGAAGTGTGGGCTGACAATGATGGGGCACGGGGGAGGGGGTGTGGGCTGACAATCGATGGGCACCGGGGGGGGGGAAGTTTGGGCTGACAATTGATGGGCACAGGGGAGGGGGGTGGGGGCTGACTGACAATTGATGGGCACGGGGGGGTGTGGGCTGACAATTGATGGGCACGGGGGGGGGGGTGTGGGCTGACATTTCGATGGGGGAACGGGGGGGAGGGGGTGTGGGCTGACAATTGATGGGCACGGGGGGGCTGACAATTGGGGGGTGTGGGCTGACAATTGATGGGCACGGGGGAGGGGTGTGGGCTGGACAATTGATGGGCACGGGGGAGGGGGTGTGGGCTGACAATTGATGGGCACGGGGGAGGGTGTGGGCTGACAATTGATGGGCAGCGGGGGGGGGGGGGTGTGGGCTGACAATTGATGGGCACGGGGGGGGGGTGGGCTGACAATTGATGGGCACGGGGGGGAAAGGTGGGCTGACAATCGATGGGCACGGGGGGGGGGGTGTGGGCTGACAATTGATGGGCACGGGGGAGGGGGGGTGGGCTGACAATTGATGGGCACAGGGGGGGGTGGGCTGACAATTGATGGGCACGGGGGGGGGGTGTGGGCTGACAATTGATGGGCACGGGGGGGGTGTATGGGCTGACAATGATGGGCACGGGGGGGAGACATGTGGGCTGACAATTGATGGGCACGGGGGGGGGGTGGGCTGACAATCGATGGGCACGGGGGGGGGGTGTGGGCTGACAATTGATGGGCACGGGGGGGGGAGGGGGTGTGGGCTGACAATTGATGGGCACGGGGGAGGGGGTGTGGGCTGACAATTGATGGGCACGGGGGAGGGGGTGTGGGCTGACAATTGATGGGCACGGGGGGGGGGGTGTGGGCTGACAATTGATGGGCACGGGGGAGGGGGTGTGGGCTGACAATTGATGGGCACAGGGGAGGGGGTGTGGGCTGACAATGATAGAGGATGAGGGGGAGGGACGAGCAATGAATGGGTGGCGGGTCAGAAGGCGGCGGACAGGCCGCGACACAGTCCGGGAGTCTCTCCTCACACCGGCTGGGAGGTATACTGAGGGAAGCTTCGGTATGAGGCGGAAGACGTGACAGGCCACTGGTAACAGCCGTCCTCCTCCACCCGCAGTCCCGGTGTCTCGCTCCCACACCCTTCCCCCGGCCCGGTTCCCGCTCCTCACCCGCTCCGGCCGTTACCTTCTCCGCCTCGCTCAAGCCGGCCTCACCCGTGCTGATGTCACGCGCCTGAAGAAGAACGTGCCGTGCGCCGTGACGTCACCTCATGAATCATTCACGCCTCGCGTTTGTTGCTAGGTGACGCTTTGTCTGCCCGAATTTGGGACCCCGCCCAGCGACCATGTGACCCCCCTCTCGCCCTCTCTCAGAGGTCCCTTTTTGCGACGCCATTTTACGTGAGGCGAAACGCCTAGCTTCCTGTGACCTGTCCAGTCTACAGTAATATGGAGGGCGCCCTAGAGAACGTTGCCGCGGACTGAGGACAGGCTGTGAGCAGGAAAGGTGCCCCTGAGTCGTGTGGGGGGAGGTGGAGGTGACGGTTAACATACAGACACTACCGCAATGAGCCGAGGGTGGGCGGGGAGCCGGGGACTGCAGAGCCACGCCTGCTCCCTGTCATACTGCAGCGCTGTACTAACCGGAGGCCGCCGCCAGGGGAGCCAGAGAGCAACAGAGCTGCATAAATAGACACACATGGGGGGATACATCCTATATATAGATCTAGTTATCTTTTATAGCATTTTATATATTATTATTGTTATTATTATGTGCCGTTTCAATTATTATTATTTGGCAGTTTAAGTTTTAATTAAAATTATTGTTATGAATAAAGTTAACAAAAATAATATTCTTTTAATTATATTTATGTAGCACTAATATTATTAAAATATTAAAAAAGCATTATTTTATTAAAATGATTGTTATTAATAATAACAGTTTAAATATGAAATAATAAAAATATAACCTAAATATCATAAAAATAATGTCAAAATATTATAATTTTTAACAATGACATTTTTTTTATATATATTTATTTATTTTTATTTAATAAAGTATTATTATTGTTATTATTATTATTATTATTATTATTATAATAATAATAATAATAATAATAATTATTATTATTATTATTATTATTATTAATATTAATAATATAATACATATTACTATTATTATTACTAAATAAAAATACAATAACTAAATTTTTTTTATTATTGATGTAGTGTTTTTATTTATTATTTAGTATTATTATTAATGGTGTTATTGGTTTTATATTTAAGTATTATTATTAATAATAATAATAAAATATTATTATGTTGTTTTTATTATTGAAATGTTATATTATTATTCAGTATTTATAGAGCGCCAATAGTTCGCTCAGCGCTGTACATTACAAAGGGGGACAGAACATGTGACAGAACAATACCAATACAATGCAAGACATGAGGGGATCGAAGGCCCTGCTCTTTGGAGCTTACAATCTAGGAGGGAGGGGATGGTGGTACAGGAGGAGATAGCTGTGGGGGATGGGGTGGTAGGAAGAGTGGAGGAGGTTGGCAAGTCAGCAGGGGGTGGGGTAGGCTTCCCTGAAGAGATGGGTTTTCAGGGTGCGCCTAAAGGAGAGGAGAGTAGGTGATAATCTGATGGGTTGGGGCAGGGAGTTCCAGAGGATGGGGGAAGCCCTGGAGAAGTCCTGGAGGCGGGCATGGGAGGAGGAGACCAGGGAACTAGAGAGAAGGAGGTCTTGTGAAGAGCGGAGTGTGCGTGTTGGGTGGTACTTGGATATTAGGTCAGTGATGTAATTCGGGGCAGTATGGTGGACGACTTTGTACGTCAGTGTTAGGATTTTGAATTTGATCCGTTGGGCAATCGGAAGCCAGTGGAGGGATTGGCAGAGGGGGGTGGAGCACACTGGGTGGAGGCCAGTGGAGGGATTGGCAGAGGGGGTGGAGGACACTGAATGGAGGCCAGTGGAGGGATTGGCAGAGGGGGGTGGAGCACACTGGGTGCAGGCCAGTGGAGGGATTGGCAGAGGGGGGTGGAGGACACTGAATAGAGGCCAGTGGAGGGATTGGCAGAGGGGGGTGGCGGAAACGGAGCGGTTGGAAAGGTGAATGAGTCTGGCAGCCGTATTCAGGATGGACTGAAGCGGGGATAGCCAGCGGCGAGGCAGGCCAGTGAGGAGGGAGTTGCAGCAGTAGTTGAGTCGTGATATGATGAGGGAGTGGATGAGCTGTTTAGTGGTTTCTGGAGTTAGGAACGTGCGGATTTTGGCGATGTTGCGGAGGTGGAGTCTGCACGAGTTTGTTAAAGATTGGACTTGGGGCTGGAAGGATAGGTTGGAGTCCAGAATGACACCAAGTACTCTGGCCTGCGGGGCGGGTTTGATGGTGGCGTTGTTGGACATGATGGAGAAGTCAATGGGGGGTGGGGTCCGGGCTGGGGGGAAGACAAGAAACTCGGTTATGGAGAGGTTCAGTTTAAGGAAGTGGAGTGACATCCAGTCAGATATGTCGCTCAGTAGGTGTGTGATTCGGGTGGAGACCGAGGGGGTGAGGTGGGGGGTTGAGAGATAGATTTGTGTGTCGTCGGCATAGAGGTGGTAGTTGAAGCCGTGAGAGTGTATGAGTTGGCCAAGGGAGGAGGTGTAGATGGAGAAGAGAAGGGGCCCGAGGACAGAGCCTTGAGGGACCCCAACAGAGAGGGGGAGTTATATATTTTGTTCCACTTAATGAGACGTTTTTATTACATGTATGTAGTATTTATTATTATTATTAACAGTTTTATTGTCTTTTCTTAACTAGTTGCCGACCGCAGATAGCCGAATGACGGCTTCACTGCGGCCGGCCAGTTCTGGGTGGACGTCATATGACGTCCCCCCAGAACGCGCTCTCCTGCGCGCCCCAGGTGGCGCGCACCCGGCGATCTCCGTGATCGCTGTGTCCTACGGACACAGCTGATCACGTGATGTGGTAAAAGGCCGATCCCAGCGGCCTTTTACCACGTGATCAGCGGAGTCCAATGACACGCTGATCACAGGGAAATGCAAGTGCCGGTTCTCGGCTGCACCTTTCCTCACGCTGTCAGATCGTGAGGAAAGTACTGCCGAGAACCGGCAGTTGTCACAGCGGGGATCGGCACCGATCATCAAGACACTGATGATCAGTGCCCTGATGATCGGTGCCCAGCAGTGCCACCCGCAAGTTCCGCCCACCTGTGCCCAGCAGTGCGCCCACTAGCTCCACCCACCTGTGCCCAGCAGTGCACCCACCTGTGCCCAGCAGTGCACCCACCTGTGCCACTCTGCAGTGTCACACACCTGTGCCCAGAAGTGCCACCCACCTGTGCCCACCAGTGCCACCCACCTGTGCCCACCCACCAGTGCTGCCCACCAGTGCTGCCAGTCAGTGCCACCAGTCAGTGCCCAGGGGTTGTGCCAGTCAGTGCTGCCAGTCAGTGCCACCAGTCAGTGCCCAGGGGTTGTGCCAGTCAGTGCCCAGCAGTGATGCCAGTCAGTGCCGTCTATCAGTACCCATCATCAGTGTCACCTATCAGTGCCGCCTATCAGTGCTGCATATTAGTGCCGCCTATCCGTGACACCTCATTAGTGCTATCAGTGCCGCCTATCCGTGCCACCTCATTAGTACTGCCCTTTAGTGCTGCCTATCAGTGCCCATCAGTGCCGCCTATCAGTGCCCATCAGTGCTGCCTCATCAATGCACATCAGTGAAGAAGAAAAAAATACCTGTTTGAAAAATTTTATAATAGAAACAAAAAGAAAATTTTTTTTCAAATTTTTTGCACTTTTTTTATTTATAGCGCAAAAAGTAAAGCGCCCAGTGGCAATTAAATACCACCAAAAGAAAGCTCTATTTGTGAGAAAAAAATGATCAAAATTTCATATGGGTACAATGTTGCATGACTGCGCAATTGTCAATCAAAGTGCGGCAGCTGAAAGCTGAAAATTGGCCTGGTAAGGAAGGGGGTAGAAGTGCCTGGTAGGCGAGGGGTTAAGCCTATTTACAGCATTATAGGAGATAGCATAGCTGGGAATCATAGGTGAATATTTATAAAGCCATGAATGTGACTTTCACCAAATATTGAATCAATTACTATCTTTAAAAACTCGGCACACAGTGAATGTCTGGTGAATGTTAGAGCAAATGCTTAAAGCGGAACCACACAGCACCTGAACACTACAAACCAAAGTTATTTAATTTTTATTATCCAAAGCAAAGCAATACCCCCCCCCCTCAATCCATCCATGTCTGCATGCTTTATTTTGTTGAAAATTCACTTTGCAAAAATCCCCCCTAGCATTTCTGGCCGTGGCCATCTTGGGTAAGGGCAGACGATTCGTGTAGCATTTACTTCCTGGAATCCATCTTAGCTCAGCCATGCAAGCAGGAGGGGTGTGCTTAGCTGAGAAAACCCCTCCTCCCCTCCTGAAGACTCCTGGGATGTATAACATTGTTTGCCTGGGCCAGAAACCAGGAAGTAACTGAAGAAATGTAAAATGAATATGATATGCTTTCCTATCTAACGTATTTACTAATACTAGCACAAGGATTTACAATAGTCATTGTTGATAGAGAGAGTGAAGTTCCACTTTAAAATAATTCAAAATTTATTTATTTTTTCTTAAAAATAACAAACCTTATACTTACCTGTTCCTGTAATGGTTTTGCCCAAAGCAGCCCCGATCCTCCTCTTCTCGGGTCCCCACCGGCGTTCTTGGGTTTCTCCCCCCCTCTCCAACAAGTGCCCCCATAGCAAGCCACCTGCTATGGGCATGCTCCTGAGCCTCGCTGTCTGCATCTATTGACACAGACAGTGGAGCTTGGTCCCCGCCCCCTGTTTTGTTTCCCTGTCACTGACTATGATTGACAGCGTCAAGAGCCAATAGGGAGGGAGGAAGTAGAGAGAGATGCTGCTCTCATGCGTTTCACTGGATTGAGATCAGTCTGAAGCTTTTAACGGGGGGGGGGGGGGGGGGGGCTATGAGAGACCACGGTTGGGTCAGGAAAGTCCAAAAATTACCAACACTCCAGTAAAGTCAGCTGTATTATGTATTAAAATAATATGGGGGAGGGGCAGAATGGGCTCAGCATTACTGCAGGGGTCAGAGGATGGAGGCACAGCACACAGCTGGTAACACAGACACTCCCGGGGGGTGTAGAATCTTGAAAGGTCTGCCAAAGGAAGCTGATAGACATGAGCGGCTGATAGACATGAGCGGCTGATAGACATGAGCGGCTGATAGACATGAGCGGCAGATGGACAGGAGCGGAAGATAGACATGAGCGGCTGATGGACGTGAGCGGCTGATGGACGTGAGCGGCTGATGGACGTGAGCGGAAGATGGACGTGAGCAGCAGATGGACGTGAGCGGAAGATGGACATGAGCGGAAGATGGACATGAGCGGCAGATGGACATGAGCGGCAGATGGACATGAGCGGCAGATGGACATGAGCGGCAGATGAACATGAGCTGAAGATGGACATGAGCGGCAGATGGACATGAGCGGAAGATGGACATGAGCTGAAGATGGACATGAGCTGAAGATGGACATGAGCGGAAGATGGACATGAGCGGCAGATGAACATGAGCGGCAGATGGACATGAGCGGCAGATGGACATGAGCGGAAGATGGACATGAGCGGAAGATGGACATGAGCGGAAGATGGACATGAGCTGAAGATGGACATGAGCTGAAGATGGACATGAGCGGAAGATGGACATGAGCGGCAGATGGACATGAGCGGCAGATGGACATGAGCGGCAGATGGACATGAGCGGAAGATGGACATGAGCGGAAGATGGACATGAGCGGAAGATGGACATGAGCGGCAGATGGACATGAGCGGCAGATGGACATGAGCGGCAGATGGACATGAGCGGAAGATGGACATGAGCTGAAGATGGACATGAGCTGAAGACATGGACATGACGGAAGATGGACATGAGCGGGACATAGACATGAGCGGCAGATGGACATGAGCGGGACATAGACATGAGCGGCAGATGGACATGAGCGGGACATAGACATGAGCGGGACATAGACATGAGCGGTGCGTTTCATTCCAAATCAAAATTCAGACAAAATTTTCATTATTCAGAGATTAGGATGTATCCGAATTTTTCAGTTATGTCTGTCCTATACACTGAGGTATGAGCAGTGTTATGCACATGAACCCAAGGGTGTATGGTGGGGGCCCTGTCAGGCACGATGTATGGGGGGGCCCTGTCATAAAGGATGTATGGTGGGGGCCCTGTCAGACAGGATGTATGGTGGGGGCCCTGTCAGACAGGATGTATAGAAGGGGGCCCTGTCAGAAAGGATGTATGATGGGGGCCCCTGTCAGGCAGGATGTATGGAAGGGGGCCCTGTCAGACAGGATGCATGGTGGGGGCCCTGTCAGACAGGATGTATGGAAAGGGGCCCTGTCAGACAGGATGTATGGTGGGGGCCCTGTCAGGCAGGATGTATGGAAGGGGGCCCTGTCAGGCAGGATGTATGGAAGGGGGCCCTGTCAGGCAGGATGTATGGAAGGGGGCCCTGCCAGACAGGATGTATGGTGGGGGCCCTGTCAGACAGGATGTATGATGGGGGCCCTGTCAGGCAGGATGTATGGAAGGGGGCCCTGTCAGACAGGATGTATGGTGGGGGCCCTGTCAGACAAGATGTATGGAAGGGGGCCCTGTCAGGCAGGATGTATGGAAGGGGGCCCTGTCAGGCAGGATGTATGGAAGGGGGCCCTGTCAGGCAGGATGTATGGAAGGGGTCCCTGTCAGGCAGGATGTATGGTGGAGGCCCTGTCAGGAAGGATGTATGATGGGGGCCCTGTCAGGAAGGATGTATGGAAGGGGGCCCTGTCAGGCAGGATGTATGGAAGGGGGCCCTGTCAGGCAGGATGTATGGAAGGGGGCCCTGTCAGGCAGGATGTATGGTGGGGGCCCTGTCGGAAAGGATGTATGGTGGGGGGGGTCCTCTCAGGCAGGATCTATGGAGCCCCATGATTTCTAATGATGGCCCTACATGTACGGGTGGCTCCGTGAGACCCCGTCAGACAGTGGAGCCATCCTCAAAATGGAAATATATTTCAAATAAAGTATAAATGAAGAATGTAAACAAATGACAGCCTGCAGACAGAACACAAAGGGAAATGGTACGTCCTGCAGTGCTCTGCTATGCAGGACATTTCACATTGAGGGTTTGATATCCCCGTCACATGACCATTCATTTCAATAACAGTCTTCCTATAATAACATATAAACATTTCATGTATTTTATTCCTGTCATTTGTCTGTAATAGTCTCCCGTGTGTAGACATCCCTGCCACTGCTGCTGGGTGCCGCCATCTTGGATGTGATGTCAGCAGTCCCTATAGAGATAGAGCTGTCTCCCCCCCAATGCTGCTGTGGTTTGTTCCAGTACAGGGCAGAGAAGTGACATTGGGGGTGGTTGGGAGGTACCACAACAGCTAGAGGGGGAGCACACAATCTGACACACTTAGAAAGATCTAATAGCAGCAGTGCCCACCCTGCTGTACAGCCCATTTTTTTTTTTAACTTACCTTAATCTGCGGCCCTGTGGCCCCAGTCTTGTTATCTTTTGTTTTCTTCCTGCTTGGGTCCTTCTTAAGGTGTCCATGTCAGTGCCCGCATGACATGGACTATTCCTATTGGATATCCAGTGGCATGGTTCTCTCAGGATCCAGAAGAGGACTGACGTCAACACGGGGTGATGCTCACATCAGTGCTGTGTGACATGGACAATTCCTATTGGAAATCCGGTGGCAGGGTTCTCTCAGGATCCAGAAGAGGACTGACATTAAAACGGGGGCGGTGCTCACATCAGTGCTGCGTGACATAGACAATTCCTATTGGATATCCAGTGGCAGGTGCTCTCAGGATCCAGAAGAGGGCTGACGTCAACATGGGGGTGGTGTTTACATCACTGCCCGCATGACATGGACAATTCCTATTGGATATCCAGTAGCATGGTTCTCTCAGGATCCAGAAGAGGACTGACGTCAACACAAAGGTGGTGCTCACATCAGTGCTGCGTGACATGGACAATTCCTATTGGATATCCAGTGGCAGGGTCCTCGCAGGACCCAGAAGAGAGCTGACGTCAACAGGGGGGTGGTGTTCACATCTGTGCTGCTTGACATGGACAATTCCTCTTGGATATCCAGTGGCAGGGTTCTCTCAGGATCCAGAAGAGGACTGACATCAACACGGGGTGGTGTTCACATCAGTGTTGCGTGACATGGACAATTCCTATAGGATATCCAGTGGCAGGGTTCTCTCATGATCCAGAAGAGGACTGACGTCAACACGGGGTGGTGTTCACATCAGTGTTGCGTGACATAGACAATTCCTATTCGATATCCAGAAGAGGACTGACATCAACACGGGGGTGGTGTTTACATCATTGCCCGCATGACATGACAATTCCTATTGGATATCCAGTGGCAGGGTCCTCTCAGGATCCAGAAGAGGACTGACGTCAACACGGGGGTGGTGTTCACATCAGTGCTGCGTGACATGGACAATTCCTATTGGAT